TGAAATATTGCATTTGAAATATTTCATTCACATTGCTGCTAGTGTGAAACCCCTATAAATGAAATGAACAAAAATAAAAATGAATGACACAAATTCTAGCGAAAATTTAATGATTTTCACGCCCAAATTCGATGAGGATGTGTGTGTTATCGTTTATTCTATTTCATGAAATATGAAAGAATTTAATTTTTTGATGCCGTGATACAAAACAATCACCGACACACACAAAAACTCTCTCACTCATCATCATCGATATTGACAGCAGCAACAGCAGTTTGTATAGAATTCATTTCATTTCATATTTTTTTTTGTCGCTCATCAAGTTTGTTTTTGAAACATATCATAAATGATGTGTTTGTTGTTGTTGTTGTTGTATATATGAAACCAAACGGATATTATTCATTAGTGTTTGCGATGATTATAATTATTTCTATCGACCCACATTACCCCTCATATCATATATCATAATATACATGTCAATGATATTATTAATATTAAAATGAAATTAATTTTTATCCTGGATTCGAGAAGCTAAAAAGCCTAAATATAAAAAAATTTGAAAAGAATTAAAATTCAAAACAAATAGGAAATTAACAGCAAACCTCATATTGATACGAATCTGATGAACAAATTGAAGAAAAAAGAACGAATAACATTCGAAAAAAATCGAACAAAATTCTAGTCGTTCGAATTTTTTTTTCTTCATTCGAATGAAGTTTGTCGCACACAGAATAAATCAATCATCATATTTTCAAGTTTATTTCGAGCCAATCATACACACATGTGTTGATATAGTTGCGACAACCGAAAGAAAAAATAGTGGACAACAACAAAAACAAAATCTATCATTTACACTTGTATACCATTGGCCATTTTTGTTGTTGTTGTTGTTGTTGTTGTTATTATTGTTCCGGATGTTTCAATAACAATAACACAGCAACAACACCAGCATGGAACCAAAGAAAAAGCCAAGAAATTAATCTATACTGTAGTTGTCGAATTCAGACACTTCTGTTTTTATTTTTTTTTTGTTCGTTCAACGTCATCAGAAACTATCATTATTATTATTATTCCTTATGAAAAGCAAGATTTGAGAAAATGACCAGAAAAAAAAGTTGCGGCACATTAATTCTAATTATTGAACCATTGATCAAAATCATTATTATTATTATTATTATTATTTTGAATGGGATCTATTAGTCGATTAGTAAATTGTGAATGTATATCGATTATTTGTTTGTTTCAAAATGATTTTCCCACCATTATTTTTTGTTTTTTGTTTTGTTTTCATACATTTTCACTTTCTTACAATGCTTTTATTATTATTATTATTTTCGATAATTCGAAGTCGTTGAAAGGAAAAGTTTTTTTTCTCCAAACGATTCTAGAACAAAAAGACATACATTTTTCTTATGATTTTTAATCATTTTTTTTTCTTCAAATAGTAAACACTTGAATCATCAAGAATCAAGTGTTGTTGATTCGTGATAACTTTTACAACAACGACAATCCAATAAAAAAAATGATCGATTTTGAAATTGAAAAAAAAACATGGAAATCCAACAAGAATCAATTTTTGTTGTTGTTGTTGTTGTTTTCAATTTCAAAGCAATTCTTTTTTTTTTGTTTCATTGTTCTACATGTCATTTTCAAGAAAATTTGTTACATTGAAACATTTTTTTTTTTTGATTCTTTCATCTATGCGGATGATGATGTTTTAATTGTTTTTATTATTATTATCATAAATAATTATGATGATTTGAACAATGGCTAAAACTTGACATCATCATTATATTCAATTTAATTTTCTTGATTTTTTTTCATTCATTCTTTCTTCACTTTATTTGTTTGATGTTCATATTCGTTCGAATCTTATATTCAGTGATTATGAATGAATGAATGAATGAAGTGGATAGAGAGAAGAAGAAGAAGAAAAAAATGAATAAGAAATTATCACATTAAATTAATAATAAAAGACATTCACGCACACCATTATAATTGAAAATGTTTTCCATATAATGGTGATGATGATGATGATGATGAAGATAATAGTTTGAAGATGAACAAAAAAAAAATGAATTGAACCGAAACAAAATGATTGAAATAAAAATAGACAACCATCATCAGAATATTAGCAATTTTCGTTAATTATACCTTATTAATTGGTATCATTCTTTATCGTATTCATCATTTTCTGATTCTTGGTGGTTGCTATTGTTCTTGTTCATATTTTGGTGTCTATTTTTGTCAAGAACAATGACAACCAATTTTTCTTCGAATTTTCTTAAGAATTGTGATTGTGCCGTAAAATGGGTTAAGTACCTAGATGATTTATCAAAAATGCATGGTAATACAGGTATTAATCCTTATAAAGCTGATTTGGCGAATTGTGCTGTTTTCATCGAATCTTTGGTTTCATCGGCTAAAGCAACAGTTGATTATCTTGAAAAATCTGTTTCGGACTTGAATAACAAAAGTTATGCACAAGTTGTACGCAATGTTACTGATAATAATAATGGTAAAAAAACCGAATTTGTATGTATTGTGGAACCCGAAGAAGGTAATGCCTCAATTATTGATTCTAATCAAACGATCAGCTGTTTTAAAGGTGCGATCTCAAGTAAAAAAATTGCTGAATGTGGAGTAAAAATTAATAAACAAATACCGATCCGAAATAAAAAAGTCTTAATAAAATGTGATACAAAATCCGATTGCTTAAAAATTCAAGAAGAAATTGCTAAGGCTAAATGTGGTATAAAAGCCAAAATTCCTAATAAACGTAATCCACAATTGAAGATTCTGGGCGTCGAAAAAGATGTTCTGGACGCTGAAATTGTTGAACTTATTTCCTCTCAAAATGATCAAGTTAAAAGCTGTTTAAATCAAAAGGAACAATTTTTAAAATTTGCTTTCTCAAATGATGACAAAGTTGGCACAAAAATGGTATTACTTGATGCTTCTCCTCTTGTTTGGCAAGTCTGTGTTGGTCTTGGCAAGCTTTTCATCGGATACAAGTGTTGTCCTGTTATGAATAATGTAACTGTACGTCAGTGTCTTAAATGTTTACGATTTGGTCACAAAACAGTCAATTGTACTAATGCTCCAGTTTGTTTCAAATGCAATCAAAATCATGAATCAAAAGATTGTTCTGTTACTGACCAAATATCGTCTTGCATAAATTGTATGTGGTCTAACCAGCATCGTCCTAGAAGATCTAATGCTAACGTTGATACAGGCCATTCGGTTTTTAGTAAAGACTGTCCCCATTACAAACTGGCGCTTGAGCGCATTAATAATAGTATTGATTATGGCTATTGATCAAGAAAAGATAAAAATTCTGAATCAAAATCTTCAACATAGTCTTAAATCAACGACAGTCTTTACTACTAATGCTGAATATTTACATTCTTCTGTCTTCTGTATACAAGAACCACACTTCTCGGATTCGTTGAATGGTTTTCCTTGTTTTAATAAGGTTCATCATGTGACGAATCCGAGAAGTGCTATTGTGTCAACCTTTGATTTATTTAAACTTGATCAATTCACGACATCAACTTGTGCTTGTGCTATTGTTAATTGTTTTAAACCTTTTATTCTTTGTTCGGTCTACTTTTCTCGTAATGATGGTTTGTCTTGTTTGGAACAGGATCTGGCACATATTGATAATTTGATCACGTCTTTTTCGTCTTATCCAGTTATAATTACGGGAGATGTAAATGCTCATCATACAGTTTGGGGCAGTGAAGTTAATGATGAACGTGGTACGATGGTGATGGATTTGATCCTTGGTCAAAATATGATTTTATTGAATGATGGCTCGGTGACATTTGATAATGACAGACATCAGAGTGCAATAGATATTACTTTTGTAAATCAAAATGCATTATCATTAGTTTCTGACTGGAAAATAGAAGATGTGGTTTCTGGTTCTGATCATCGTTTATTTTCTTTTTGTTATAATTCATCTTTGTCGTTTAATTCAAAATCTTTAACACGAAAATTTTATACAAAAAATATTGATTGGTCCAATTTTCGTCACGCTGCCTCTAATCTCTCTGTTTTTGCAGATTCCGTAAACAATATAATGTCATATGATCAAATTGATTTGTTTGTGAATAATTTTATGCTTTCTTTGATGCAGATTTGTAATGATTGTTTACCTATTTTGAAGCAAAATTTAACCAAAAAGAAATTGTCGTCGGAGCTGATTGCTAAATTGTCCTTGCTTAAGTGTCTAAGACGTAGATTTCAGCGGCAACGTAATACTACGAATAGAATTTTATGGCGTGACCGTTATTTAACATGTGTTAAAGATTTTAAGGAATCATTGTATTTATCGAAAATTAATGCTTGTAAGGAGTTCTTCTCCTCGCTTGATCGTAATAATATTTGGAAAAGTGCTTATCGTTTCTGGAAAAACCCTTCAATGACTAATCAAACACTAACAACTATTAAAAAAGATGATGATACGTGTACCATTCTTCCTATTGATACTGCTAATTATCTTTTGGATAAATTTTTTCCGAATCTTTCACACGATCTTGATGATCCTATCCATGCATGGTATTGTTCTTCCTGTTTAACTGAAAATGATTTATTGATCACTGATAAAGAAGTCGATTATGCAATCAAGGTGGAAAATGACGCTAAAAGTCCTGGTTATGATGCGATTTCCGCCAACATTATCAAATCGATTCATTCACTTTTCCCTTCATTTTTAAAGTCATTGTTCAACAAATGTTTATTTTTTGCTAATTTTCCCAAATGTTGGAAAAAATCTATAGTGAAACTGATCCCGAAAAATATTGGAAATAGTTATAGACCAATTTCTTTACTTCCCGTTTTGGGCAAAATTTTTGAGGGGATCATTGCACGCCGATTACAACATTTTCTGCTTTCTAATTCTAAATTATCGTATGTACAATTCGGATTTCTACCCCAAAAATCAACAGAATTGGCTTTGTTTTCGCTTGTCGATAAAATGAAGCGTGTTTTCGACAACAAATCTTTTGCATTTATGGTTTCTTTGGATATTAAAGGAGCCTTTGATAGTGCCAGATATGATATCATTTTGCAAAGATTACGAAATTTCGAAATTCCGCCTAATATTTATGCTGTAATTGTTGATTATTTCAAAGATCGTATTGTGGAATTGCCATTATTGAATGTTATGGTATCAAAACGAGTTACTGGTGGTTGTCCACAAGGAGGGAAGATTTCCCCTTTATTATGGAATGTTTTGCTCGATGATTTGCTCAAATTACCACTACCTTCCAATTGCTTTTTACAGGCTTATGCAGATGATACCATTTTGTTTTGTGAGCATAGGAGCATTGAAAATTGTGCGTTTTTAACTAACAATGCTTTACAGATTATTGAACAATGGGGTTTGAATAATGGTCTTGTTTTTAATCCTATGAAAACACAAGCTATGATGGTAACAAAACGACGTAATTTCGTTCTTCCGGATCTTTTCTTGAATGGACACATGATTAATATAGTACGTTGTATCAAAATTCTTGGCGTTCTGATTGACTCCAAATTAACTTGGAATGATCATATTTCTTATATTAAATCGAAAGCCATGAAAATTTATAACCTGATAAGATGGAAACATGGATCAAATTGGGGTTTGAGTTTTGATGTACTACGCACTATTTATCTTCAAGCAATAGAACCTATTATTTTATATGCTTGTCCGGTTTGGTCGGATATTTTGAATTGTTCAACCAAATGTTGTAGTCTTTTAAGTTTGCAACGTTGTTTTGCTATTAGTATGATTCGAGCTTACCGCACTGTTTCTTTGGAAGCTGCTTTAGTCATTGCTAATATTCCACCTATTGATCTGAAGATTCTTTATTTTACTAAAATTTTTGCTATCAAACATGGTCTTTCTTCAGAACATATTTATCAGTTGCCGGTTGATTATTCTGTTACTGTTCATCCTGCTAAATTTAATATCTTATTTGATTTTTGTGGATCCGACGTCTTTGATAATGATCGTAATAGTTCTGGTTATACCATATATACAGATGGATCGAAAATTAATGATGAAGTTGGTTCCGCGGTCGTTATTTTTGCTAATGATGAAAAACGTTCTCCTCTTTTGGTATTGACCTATCGTTTAAATAGTAATTGTTCAGTGTATCAAGCTGAACTTTTCGGAATTTGCAATGCTATATCCTGGGTCATCGAGAATGGCGTCTCGGATGCAGTTATTCTTTCCGATTCCAAGTCTGCTATCCAATCTATCTGTAACTTTCATTCTACTAATTTTTTGGTACAACTTATTTTTAAGATGGTTGCTGATTATACCGGTCGCATTTGCATAAAGTGGATAAAGGCTCATAATGGTTGCTTCGGTAATGATTTAGCTGATTTTTACGCCAAGCAAGCTACTCTTTTGATGGATGTTTCTTTCGATCTTCTTCCTCTGTCTTTCGCGCATCGTAATTTAAAATCCTTAATGATTAACAATTGGCAACAGAATTGGACTACAACAACTAATGGCTCGTGTACTAAGAAATTTTTTCCTACTATTCAACATCGATTGGATTCTTGTTTGATACCAGGTTTTATCATTACTCAATTTTTAACGAATCATGGAAAATTTAATCAATATCTTTCGCGTTTCCGTATTTCAAATTCTTCCGTTTGCAATTTTTGTTCTTGTCAAGTTCAATCATCACTGCACCTAATTAACAATTGTAATCGTTTTGCATATGAGAGATTTAATTTTTATAATTTGATAAATTCCGATGATTGTACATATTTTTGTAACTCTAATAATTTTGATCATTTTTTGAAATTTGTTTTTTTCATTTATAATAATCTTTGAATTTTGTTATTTTTATTTTTATTTATTTTTTCCCCCCCTATAATTTTATGGNTTGATAATGATCGATGTAAAGTGAATATTATTATTATTTTCTTTTCTTTTTTGATAATAATTAGAGAAAAAAAGAAATCTCGCTGCTAAATCCAGATAATAATGATGATAATTTTTGTCCTTGAATAGATCAATCCAATTATGATCATTGCTGTTTCCTTTGCTTTGATCAATTCATTTGATCTTGAAACGAAATGAAAAATAATTTAAAAAACATTAAATAGATGATTTTCTTGATCAACAAGACAGATAACGAGAATCGAAAGAGTGAAATAAAAAACCACACAATCTAATAGAATGGACAATTTAACCAGAATTATTTTCCATAAGCTTATAATTATGTAATGTTAAGGTATGTTTTTTTTGTATAAAAATTTTCATAACCAACAACATTGCAATAATGTGTCGAAATAGCCTTAAACATGACAACACCAGGTGATATTTCGAATTTTTCCAAAAATATTATTCTTGCTGATAAATGGGTGAAATGGCTTGATAGCGTTTCAAGAAGTGATGATAAAGGTTTGGATCCGTATCGTTTGGATTTGCAAAGCTGTTCTGTTTTCATTCAAAGTCTATTGGCTTCGGCTAAAACTGAAATTGATGCTGCCTCAAAATCATCTAGCAAATCATCTTATGCACAAGTTGTTGTTAATAATCAAAGTGGTAATCATAATATTGTTCAGAAAAAGACGGAATTTGTTTGTATAGTGGGGCCAGATGATAATGATAATTCAATCACTGATTCTAATCAAACGATGAGTCGTTTGAAAGGTGCAATTACTAGTAAGAAAATATCTGACCGTGGCTTGAAAATTCTTAAACAATTTCCAATAAAGAATAAAAAGGTATTGTTAAAATGTGAATCAAAATCTCATTGCAAAATTCTGGAAGAAGAGATTAATAAATCTAAATGCGGTATTAAAGCTACCGTTCCAACGAAACGAAACCCGTGTTTGCAGATTCTTGGTGTTGAACGTGACCTGGAGGATGATTGTATTGTTAGAGCAATTGAGTCACAAAATGAAGCTGTTAAAGACTGCTTGAAGCTTGAGGGTCAATTTTTAAAAGTTACCTTCTCCAAACTCGACCGTGTCGGTTCTAAGTTCGTTATTCTTGAGGCTTCGCCTCAGATCTGGCAAATTTGTACTAATCTGGGTAATTTATTTATTGGCTATAAATGCTGTTTAGTCAAAAACCATGTTAATGTTCGTCATTGTTTCAAATGTCTTCGTTTTGGTCATATTGCAAAATTTTGTAACAATAATCCAGTTTGCTCTAAATGTAACGATGGTCATTCATCAAAAGACTGTTCTGTTCAAATTACAACTACTCGATGTGTTAATTGTATCTGGACTAATCAAAATCGTAGAGAGAATGCGGAATTAGTGAACATTGATCATTCGGTCTTCAGTAAGGAATGCCCGCTTTATAAATCTGCTTTGGAAAAAACTTATAATTATTATGACTATGGGTACTAATCATAATATCAAGATATTGAATCAAAATTTACAGCATAGTCTAAAGTCAACATCTGCATTCATTACTAATTCCGAACACTTAAATTCTTTTCTTTTCTGCGTTCAAGAACCTCATAAAACGAATACGATTAATGGTTTTACAAAATTCAAAATGGTTCATGCGTCTAATCCGAAATGTGCCATTATTTCAAGTCTCGATCTTTTTAATTTTGTTCAATTTACTACCTCCACTTGTTCATGTGCTCTTGTCAATTGTTCTAGGCCGTTTGTGCTCTGTTCTATTTATTTCTCAAGAAATGATGGTATTGTTTGTCTTGAACAGAATCTTGCACATTTAGGAAACATATTGACAACCTTTTCTTCTTATCCTATCATCATCTCTGGTGATTTTAATTCTCGTCACTCGATTTGGGGTGGTGATATAATTGATCAACGTGGTTCTTTGGTTATGGATTGGATTTGTAGCAATAATTTGATGGTGTTAAATGACGGCTCCATGACTTTTGATAATGGTAGATATCAGAGTGCCATTGATTTGATAGTTATAAATGGTAATGCCTCGAATTTAATTTCTGATTGGAAAACTGAAGATTTGGTGTCTGGTTCTGATCATAATCTAATATCTTTCTGCTATGGTTCTTCTTTTCCTACAATCCCAAGATCTTTAACCAGGAAATATCGTACTAAAAACATAGATTGGACTGACTTCCATCACATTGGTAGGTCGGTTTTACACAACTTTAATGTTGCTGTTAATTGTCTTTCAACACGTCATGAGATTGAAAATTTTACCGATGATCTTATGTCTTCTATTCAACATCTATGTGATCAAAATCTTCCGCTATTAAATCCTCATTTTGAAGCTAAAAAGTTACCAAATGATTTAACCATGAAACTTTTGCTTATGAAAAATCTTAGAAGAAGATATCAGAGGCAAAGGAATTCCACTAATAGAACCTTATGGCGAAAACATTATTTAGATAGTGTTGAAAATTTTAAGAATTCCTTGTGCTCTTTTAATATCAAAAAATGTAATGCCTTTTTTGCCTCTCTCGACAGAACTTCAATTTGGAAAAAAGCTTTTTGCTTTTGGAAGAATCCTTCCATGACAAATCAAATTCTAAAATCGGTCAAACAAGATGATGATACTTGGACGTCTTCTCCTTCTGATACTGCTATTTATTTATTAGATAAATTTTATCCGGATTTTGATAATGCTACAGTTAATCAAATACATTCATGGTACCGTTCCACTTGTTCAACTCCAAATGATTTGATGATTACTACAAAAGAGACTGATTTTGCCATTAGTATGGAAAATGACAATAAAAGTCCGGGTTATGATGCTATTTCAGCCAATATTATCAAAAATATCCATTCCATTTTTCCTCGATTTTTCGTATCTTTGTTCAATAAATGTTTAACTTTTGGTGTCTTTCCCAAATGTTGGAAAAAGTCGCTGGTTAAATTGATTCCGAAGAACAATAACCAAACATACCGTTCTTATCGACCAATATCGTTATTACCCGTCCTAGGAAAAATATTTGAAGGTATTATTGCTCGACGTTTACTACATTACCTACTTACAAATCGTAAGTTGGCTGTAAATCAGTTTGCCTTTCTTCCACAAAAATCTACCGAATCAGCCTTGGCTTCTTTAGTGGAGAAAATCAAAATGGTCTTTTTACGGAAGAGCTTCGCTTTCGTTGTGTCTCTTGATATAAGTGGTGCATTCGATTCTGCTCGTCATGACATCATTTTAAAACATTTAAGGCGTTTTGAAATACCACCAAACATTTATAATGTAATTTTGGATTATTTTACTAATCGTTGTGTTGAATTACCACTTTTTAATGCTTCCGCAACTAAATGTGCTTCAGGTGGTTGTCCACAAGGTGGGAAAATTTCACCATTATTATGGAATGTTCTGTTAGATGGTTTACTAAAATTACCACTACCACCACTTTGTTCTATTCAAGCTTATGCTGATGATTGCCTGTTGTTTTGTGAGCATGCCGATATTTCTGTTTGTGCAAGAGTTACCAATGAAACCTTGAAAATTATTTCTTGTTGGGGTCTTAAAAATGGTCTATCTTTCAATCCATCTAAAACTACTGGAATGCTTGTGACAAAGCGTCGGAAATTTACTCTACCTGACATTGTTTTAAATGGTCGTAAAATTGATATTGTGCCGAACATCAAAATTCTTGGTCTGATTGTTGATTCTAAGCTTACGTGGAACGCACATCTTGATTATATTAAATCAAAATCATTGAAAATTAACAACATAATAAGACGTAAATATAGTTCTAATTGGGGTCTTTCTTTTGATGTTCTCCGTACTATATACTTACAGGCCATTGAGCCAATGATTTTATATGCTTGCCCGATTTGGTGTGATGTTTTGAATTTCTCTACCAAAAGACAGAAACTTTTGAGCATTCAACGTGCTTTTATTATTGGTATGATTCGTGCTTTTCGAACTGTGTCTTTGGAAGCTTCTTTGGTTATTGCCAAATGTCCTCCAATTGATTTAAAACTACGATTCTATTCGAATATTTTCTCAATCAAGCATAATAATTCATTTTCTGATTATCAACTTCCTTTGGACTTTGCTGATACTATCCATCCAGCTAAAATCAATATTTCTATTGCTTGTAATGATTTTGATGATGTTTGTGACTTTGCCCATGATTATGTTATTTTTACAGATGGCTCCAAGATTGATGGACAAGTTGGTGCTTCTTTTGTTGTCTTCTCTGGTGCTAATGATTTTTCGCCACTTCTGGTCAAAAAATTTCGTTTGGCTAATGATTGCTCTGTCTTTCAATCCGAGTTATTTGCTATACTCCAAGCTATCTCTTGGATTGTTGAAAACAATGCATCTAATACAAGAATATTTTGTGATTCGAAATCGGCTCTTATGAGTATCCGAAACATTTATTCTACGAACAAGTTAGTTCAGAATATCTTTTCGAGAATTCATGGTCAACATATCTGCCTTAATTGGACTAAGTCTCATAATGGAAATTTTGGCAATGATCTTGCTGACTACTTTGCAAAATTGGCAGCTTTTTTGGACTCTATCGTTTATAACAGTATTTCTTTATCGTCTGCCTATTATGGATTTAATACACAATTATTGTACGATTGGAATCTCGCTTGGCAATCTTCTATCAATGGCTCGTATACTAAGAAATTTTTTCCTACTATTCAACATCGATTGGATTCTTGTTTGATACCAGGTTTTATCATTACTCAATTTTTAACGAATCATGGAAAATTTAATCAATATCTTTCGCGTTTCCGTATTTCAAATTCTTCCGTTTGCAATTTTTGTTCTTGTCAAGTTCAATCATCACTGCACCTAATTAACAATTGTAATCGTTTTGCATATGAGAGATTTAATTTTTATAATTTGATAAATTCCGATGATTGTACATATTTTTGTAACTCTAATAATTTTGATCATTTTTTGAAATTTGTTTTTTTCATTTATAGTAATCTTTGAATTTTGTTATTTTTATTTTTGTTTATTTTTTCCNAATGGCTCGTATACTAAGAAATTTTTTCCTACTATTCAACATCGATTGGATTCTTGTTTGATACCAGGTTTTATCATTACTCAATTTTTAACGAATCATGGAAAATTTAATCAATATCTTTCGCGTTTCCGTATTTCAAATTCTTCCGTTTGCAATTTTTGTTCTTGTCAAGTTCAATCATCACTGCACCTAATTAACAATTGTAATCGTTTTGCATATGAGAGATTTAATTTTTATAATTTGATAAATTCCGATGATTGTACATATTTTTGTAACTCTAATAATTTTGATCATTTTTTGAAATTTGTTTTTTTCATTTATAATAATCTTTGAATTTTGTTATTTTTATTTTTATTTATTTTTTCCCCCCCTATAATTTTATGGAATAGGGGTTTTTGTTTATTAAATTCAAATTCAAATTCAAAATCAGNCTTCCGTTTGCAATTTTTGTTCTTGTCAAGTTCAATCATCACTGCACCTAATTAACAATTGTAATCGTTTTGCATATGAGAGATTTAATTTTTATAATTTGATAAATTCCGATGATTGTACATATTTTTGTAACTCTAATAATTTTGATCATTTTTTGAAATTTGTTTTTTTCATTTATAATAATCTTTGAATTTTGTTATTTTTATTTTTATTTATTTTTTCCCCCCCTATAATTTTATGGAATAGGGGTTTTTGTTTATTAAATTCAAATTCAAATTCAAAATCAGAATATTAATAATAATAATAAAAGCGGAAAAATGATTAATTTTTTCTTGGATTTTCTGGCCATTAAAATGAACATTTACCATCCCCAATTGAAATTCTGAACATAGACAAAAAAAACACAAATGAAAAATTTATCCATTTTTTTGTGTGTGATTAATTTGGAAATTAATTTCAATTTGTTTCAATAAGTCAAAATATTTTCTTTATTTTCTCGGTCACTAAAAAATAAAAAAAAAATTCTGGACAAATTTTTTTTAACAGAAACATTTATTAATTCATTTGTCTTTTTGTTTATCTGATTTAGTGTTTGAAAATAATGTTGGATCATCTTTATCGTCGTCCAGTGTTCCATCAACAACAAACATACAGCCACCAACTATACATGCATATGATACAACAGTAACCGATGGTAATGATGCTTTATTAAAATGTACAAGTACATCCGATCTATATCAAGTGGTTGCATGGATAACCGATGATGATGATATTATATTACCATTTGATTATCAATATCAATTTCAACAAGATATGATTACAACAACAACGACAACGACAACAACAACGGGTAACTATGGATCAAATCCATCACAACATTTTCATCATAATGGTTATACAAATTTTTGTAAGTAAAAAAAAGATACAAACAAACCAAATTCTACCTTTATTTGCAACTCAATCATTTTGAAGCATCGGGCAAATAAAAACGAATAAAATAAAATGATAATAATAATTTCTATTTTCAATGCATAACATTATTTTTAATTATTTTTAAATTTTGTCATTATTTAATCTCTGTAAAGTTAATTTAAATTCATATGAATTTCATTTCTCATTACATTATTCATAGATTTTTTCAAGTTTTTTTTTTTGCTAGTGAAGGTTTTTTTTTCAAACAAAAAACTTGAAAGCGTTGAACTGAAAATCTGAACTATAGTAGATGTAATTCTGATAGTTCACATCGTTTGGTTCAAATTTTCTTTTTTTGCTCTGTTATGTCAAGGCAAAAAAATTCATTCCAAATATTTTGACTTGTCATTATTATTGTTGTTGTTGTTGTTATTTTTCTGTTAGAATCATCGTCATTATTTCATATGCAACTAATACGACAATCATACTAAAACACACACACACCGTTGACCGCTTGAACAAGTTTTCAACTATTGTATAGACATTACGGGTATTAATTCGGATCCCGAATATAATTAATTATGTAACAACAACGACAACAACAACAACACAAGTCTAAAAAAAAGAATATAAATGATATGCTTGCGGAAAATGGAATTTTTCTAGTGATTTTAAATGATCCATTGGTCTCTATAATAACGATATTTGCTCGGTTGGTTGGCTAGTCTCTCTCTCTCGGTGTTTCATGTTGTTCATAGAATAAGAGAAAAAAAACGAAGAAGAATGACAGCAAGAAAAAAACACAAGATTCAAGCCGTAAAAAAAGTAGAAATTCAATAAATCACTCAACCACTCTTTTTAGTCTCTCTCTCGGAAAATGGTACTCTTTTTTTTTGTTACAATTTTCATTCATTTTCATCCTTGTTCATTCTGTCATGATGAATTCAATGAAAAAAAAAAATTTTGACTTCAAAAATACTTAACCTTTTGATCTTTGCTTCTTAATTCAATGTAACTTGTGTGATGGAATTATTGCAGCTTTTCCCTTTTTTTCGGTGTTTGTTTACGATACCCAAGGCCAACAATATTTGGAACTGGTAAAACAATTTTCTTCACATTTCTATTTTCCCATAATTTGACAGATTGTTTTTATAAAAGATTTTTTCAATGACGACATTTTCATATATTTCTTTATACCACTATTTATTATTTCTTGGTCTCATTATAAGAATAGAAAAAAAAGAAAGAAAATGACAGAAAAAAAATGAAATCCAAGAGTTTGAAGATTGATTTTCTTCTTGAAAGAATCAAGTATGATGTACTGTTATGTTTATTTATTTTTCTTTCTTTCTTTGGTTGAAAATTAACATTTTCTCTGCTCTGTCTTTATATACACAGAAAAAAACAATTTTACCCATTCACTCGGTTTTTTTTGCTGTTTCACTTGGGAAAACAAGAATAAAAAAAATTCAATCATCAATATTGAGAACGATCTAAGCAAGACGATCCCGAAAAAAAAGTCCCAAATAAAAATTTGATTCTTGTTCATTCACTATGAACACGCATCGAACGAGCAACCGAAAAAAAAAATCACAAAAAAAACATTTTAATGAAATCATTATTATCGATTAATATATAGATTAAATAGAATCCTAGGGAAAAAAAGAATATAGTAAGACAAAACAAAAAAACGTAATAGTATTGTCGCTTTCCTAGGAATCTGTTTTACTGTTATGGTGTTCTATGTTCTATGGCATATGTCAAACCAAGAAAATGATGATGATGATGATAATGATAATGATGGTAAACGATCAAACGATTTGATAGAAAAAAAATTTTCGCTTGATTTCTTCCAATTTCTTCTTCTTCTTTTTTTGTTCTTTGAAATTGTGTTTTTTTTGTGTGTATCTTCCTATTTTCACTTTTTCGCTCCGTTATTTTTGTTTTCTTCACATTCGAATGTCATCTCCATCATTTTTATTTGAGATGCGAAGGAAAAATAACAGGAAATAAAAAGCGATTAACCTTTTTACCAATGAATGTTAGCCATTTTAAAACAAAATAAAATGACCAGACACTGAATTCAAATATTTTATTTATAAGAAACAAAAAAAAATGATCATATACAAAGTAAAAATACAAAATTATTATTACCATCATTGAATCTATAGGGTTTGTTTTTTGTTTTGCTTTATTTTACTTTTCTGATCGTTTTTTTATTATATTTTATAACTTGTCTTTGTTTTGTTTTTGTTTCCTCTTTTTTTTTTTGGTTTTTCTATTCTCGTTCAGTTTTTTTTCAACTCAAAGATTAATGATGTTGGATCATTATTTCCATTTTATCCATTTTTTTTGTTTCGTGGATCGTTTTCGTTTCGGGTCATAGCTTGTGTTGATTCTACCATTTTCTTTTTTGAACGGTCTATGATGATGATGATGAACAACAATAATAAATTCTCATCGTAACAAGACAATTCAATATATACAGTATAAACATCAATTTCAAGTGTGTGTTTATAGTGTGATTTTTTTCACTTTTATCGTCTTTTTTTTCCTGGAAAAAAATTGAAAATTAAATTAATTAAATTTTATAACAAATACGATGTTTTTTAGGTTTAAATTTTGTGTGTTGTATGTTTTATTCATACTTTACTTTCATCCGGGTACATCTTCGTCAAGATTTTTTTTCTCTCTTCCTTCTTTAAAAAGACACCAGAAACATTTTATATTGAACATCATTGAATAAATTTTTGTGAATAGTGATAAAAAATAAGTAAAATATTTATATTGAATACAATATTAGTAAGAACACTAAGATAAACATCACAAGTTAAGAATGAAAATAGAATTCAACGAAAAAAAACTAGAATGCTTGAATGATACGTGCATAGACTTTATAATTTTTGTTTTCCGGTTATAAAGCTATTACTGTGACAGTAACAGCGAATTTTTTATTCTTTCACCCAAATAATAATTCTTAGTTTAGTTTGTCTCTTCTTCTTACTTTTTCTTACTATTTTTTTTTTTCATTCATGTCCATTTTTTTCTTGTAAGTGTTTGTGTGTTTTTGTTGAACCTACCACTTAACAATGTCAAACTTAAAGTGATGAGGGATAAGAAAGAGGAAGAAGAACAAAAAAAAAATTCTCCAACGAATGTTGTTGTTTCTCATTTGTCATCATAATCATTGGCTATGTTAGGCTTATGTGAGCGTGGGTGAACAAAAAGAAATTTGAATAATTGTTGTCAATCTTCATTTTTTTTTCTTCTCTGGCCATATAACTTGTTTTGCATAATATTGATTGCTATGATATGAAAAAAAACAGAAAAATTTCCTATCTGGTTACGATTGTGTGATTCTATTTTATTGTTTTGCTTTGTATATTAGTTATTCTTTGATTTTCAAGATTTTTTTCTCTCTCTCTCTTCGCTAACAAGAGTCGTAATTTAACCACACACACACACACACATTGCAACATTAGTTTATTGTGATGAAAAAAATGGGAAAAAATTTGCATATAATTGCATCCATAATGACATTTACATACGAATTAAAGCAAAAGTGAGAGACACGGAAAAAAAAGTAGAAAAGGAAAACCTACACAGATTCACAAAGAATCATCATCAATTGAATGAGGAAAAAAATCATTATCATCATACAAAAAAAAAGATATACCGTATATAATAATAGCCAATCGGAATGATTATTTCCATTTTTTTTTCTCTCGTCTACTTCATCACACACATAAACACAATTCAATGCTTGTATAAATTGCTTTCATCACTTTCATTATTATCATTATCGAAACTTTATGTATTGGGTGAAAAGAATCCAAAAAAAATTACATAGAAAATTATTTTTTGTGCTTACAATAATCATGATTATTAGCCTCGAAACATTTACATTTTTTATATTCTTTTTTCATTATTGATTTGACACAATACCGCCAAAAAAAACTATGACAATGACGACGACCTCATCAGATTGTTAATCGGATGTTGTTATCATCATCATCATCATCAAAATCATTATGTCTGTCTGTATGTTCATGAGGGCACGCAAATATTATGCAAATAACAGTTAACCGAAAAAAAATCCTATATACATGATGAATCAGAAATGTAGAAATCGACATTTATTTCTTTTTGTTTCATTATCGCATTGAAAATTGTATTAGATTGATCTATATTTTCATCATCATCATCATTGGTTTTTCATCATTATTATTTTCTTTTTCTTTTTTTTTTGGTTGGATAATTAAAATTTTATGCAAATTATTTTCATATATAAATGGTGTGATATTCAATGTAACACACACATATATAGAAAATGTTGGCTTCACTGTCATTATTCACAGTTTATTCGTTGTTTTCAGTTGTCATTAACGGCAAATTCACACATAAATGTAAGGCGTTGTTTCAACATATTTTTCACTTATTTCTAAGAAAATCGTTAATATTTTATTCATTCATATGAATTTTCTTTTCTTTGGTTCGACACACACACACACAAAAACAATACAATTTTTAACCAAAAGATTGTGATGAAACAAAACCAAAATCAAAATTGAAAACATTAGAAATCAAAAGATTGAATACTTTTTGTTTTTCATTTCATATTTCCTATTGAATAAAACTGAGAAATGAAAATTAACTTTTTTCACTTCTCTCTATTTAACTTACTTTTCTTTTGTTTGATTCTTCTTTGAAGAAAGAAAAATTCACTATGAACAAATCTGTGATTCACTTTTTGTGTGTGTGTGTGTGTGTATGACATCAGAAGGAAACATTTCTCTATTCATCCATTTTCTTTATTTGATTCTGAGTTTTTTTTTCTTGGTTGGATCAAACATGAAATCAAAATTGAAAAAAAAGAATAGAAACGCCTTTTTCAATAATAATCAACATCATCATCATCATTTCATTCATAATATATTCTGGACGCGTGTGTGCGTGTGTGTCTGTATTATTTTAGATTTTTTTTTTCATTTCTTTTTTTTCCTATTTTGATTTCATATTTCGTTTTTTTTGTTTTGTTTTGATTTCATGATCATATAATGGTGGTGGCTTTTTCAATCTCATGAAAGTTCTCTCGAAAAATTTGACTATTATTGAATTTGTTTTGTTTTGTTTTGTTTTTTGCTTTGCATTCATTTTCATCAAACTGAATGTTTTTTTCAATCATCGATATATAATGATGACGTTGAAAATGGAAAAGGATCAATGAAAACCAATGAAAAGATTTACATATTTTTTTCCATTTGTTTTGTTTTTTTTGTAAATTATTTATCACCTTGATTTTTGCTTTTCGTAAAGAATTTGATTTGCAAATGATTTTTTTCCAAATACAAATTATTTTCAATTAATAATCAAGCCTATTTTCATCACGTTGATTTCTATTTCTTATTGTCGATTTTTTTCCAATATATACTGTTTGTTGGGATAGTTTGATTGTTTTCAATTATTAAATCATTCAAAGGAGAAAAAAAAAGATGAGAAAAAGTGAAAGGCGTTTTTTTCATTCTAGTCAATAATTTGTCTTTGATTATTTTTGTGCTATTTTTTTTTGTATTATCAGTATAATAGATTTTCGTAGTGTTAAACAATGTTTTGTTGTTGTTCTATCATAGTGGTTATGGTCATTTAAACATTAATCAATTAGATTAAATATTGAAATTTTTTTGTTTTGTTTTGTTTTCATACTTTGTCATTTCAACAAAAATAATAATGATGAAACAAGAAAAAAAAATCCTGATCATAAAATAAACAAACGCCTAAAAATATAGCTAAATTGAAGATAAAACTATTGATTATCGTTATTAGACGTACATACCATACACACACACCTTTAGATTATCTGTCGTAAATATTGGAAAGTAATTTTCTATTTTGTCAATTTCAATTGATTATTTGAAATGAATGAATGAATGGAAAAGAAAAATTACATTATTCATTTTTTTTACCAAATACCAATTATATATTCTTTTGACCATTATTATCATTTTTCTTTCCTAAACTGACCATATTAATGATTACATTTTCTTCTCCTTTTTTTTGTTGGGCGAATTCAAATTTGAATATAATCAACAACAACAAAAACTTTGTTTAGTTAACATTAATAAACCTTATATTGATAAAATGATTTCCAATATTTCTTTTTTGATAATATGAATTCTTGTTATAATATATTTTTTTTGCTGATAATAATGTCCAGTCCAATTATTTATTGAATGTTATTAATTTTCTTTTTGTTCATTTTTGAATCATATTATATTTGATAAAATTGTTACATGGGCAATATTTTGTTTTTGTAATCATTGATTTTTTTTCTCTGGATTACACACATAAAATATTAGTTGATCTAAAATAGAAACAAAAATTTACTTTAATCATTTATCTGGATGCCATTTTTTTTTTTGAATGTTTGCAAAAGAATAGCGAACAAGATAACGTAGACCAATAAGCAAAAAACAACAGAAACAGTGTAAGAAAACCCATGTGTGCCATTTCTTTTTCTTTTTTTTAATATGAAAAAAAATATTTACCAAAACATACCACCCAAAATATCGTATCGATAATTCATGGTACATCCATACAATTTTTTGTTTCTATCTTTTTTTTTTGCTTCTTTTGATCTCTCGATCATTTTATCATTTTCATTGTTCAAAAAATGGTTTTGATTGTTAAGATAACGGTTGAACAGCAGCAGAAGCAAACATACAACTTGAAACTTTATAAATAATTCAAAATTGCAAGCCAGCAATATTGTCTCAATATTGTTGTTACTGGGTTGTTGGTATCTGGAACATTTTTTCTTTCCATTTTTTGTTTTGTTTTGTTTCACTGTTTCAAGATTTTTTTTCATGTTTTACATTCAATGACTATGAAAAAAACGATGCTCACTTTTTTCCCCTCTTTACGATTCTAAGAATTTATCGCGTTGTTGATTATAATAATAATGATATTGATGATGATTTATATTTCCCTATAGATATACCCGCTGATACACGTTATTATGTTCTCCCTTCCGGTGAACTATTGATTGCTGCCATTCGTACCAATGATCTACGGCGACAATTTCGTTGCCGTATGGCTCATCGTTTAACTGGTGAACGTTACGATTCATCTAACTGGGCTCGAATCAAATTAAGAGGTAAATGGTTTTATTTATTTATTCATTTGCTGTGTTTATGGAATAAAATTGCTATTTCATTATTTAAAAGCTATCTTAAATACTAATCGTTATTCATTGCGATACAGACACATAAATTGACTGTAATAAATCTAATGATCTGATAATTGATTTCTGAATCAATTCGCGTATTTTTCTTTTCTTTTTTTTCAATGAATACAGATCAATCAAGTCACATATCGTATCGACCGCGATATAATCTAGATGCATCATTACGTCGCACATTGACAATCGATGATAATAATGATTATTATGGACATGGTGATGGCCATAATAATGGTGATGACAATCATCATCAAACAAATCATTTATCACATAAACCAATTGATATTTATTGTTCATTTGATGCTCAACCACCACCCAATATTACCTGGTATTTTCTTAGTTATTTTGATCCAAAACATTATCGACGACAATTGAGTGGTGTCGATGATTTTATCGCTCATCATATAAAGCCTTTACAATCATCAACAACACAATCAACATCATGGTCATCACATTATACAATAACTTCACGTCATCTTCGTATAAATCAACCAACAATCCGTGATGTTGGTACCTATGTTTGTGTTGCAAATAATTCACATTTTCAAGTTCATCATGAAACGGATCTACTTTCAAAACGTTTATTACATTTAAATCTGACAATCATGAATCATGAAACACATCGTTCAGGTTCAGGTCCATATTCACCGGGTGATATAATAACATTATCATGTAATATAACACATTTATTAACAATGTTTGATTTGTTACCAATATTACCACCATCAATAAATGAGCCAAATGATGAAAATGATTTAGATCATAATCAAATCGATGATGATCTACTATCGTCATCATCATCATCATCATCAGCAACAAATCTTGATCCAGAATCAATTAAACAGCGACGTATAAAACTGTTGAATCAGGTTTTACAATCACGTTTTATGATCACTTATTATTGGTATCATAATCAAGTGCCAATTAGTACAACGATTGATCAAAATAATAATGTTTTTAATAGTAATAATAATAATGACAATAAATATAGCCGTACAAATTCTGGAAGATCTTTTTCATCCAATAAGTTATCATCAAATGATCAAAAACAACGACAACAACATTATGAAATTCTTGGTCATCAACGAAACGTACTTCGAATTTATGATCTCGAATATTCGGATGCCGGTATTTATCAATGTTTTGCTCGCATAAATGGTGGTCCAGATTTTGAACAATGGTTACAATCATCAACATTGATTACTATGTATCAATCATCACCAAAATTAATTCAAACATTCAATGAACAGATATTGATGAATCAACAAGAACTTTCATTGAAATGTATGGCTACAGGTATACCGGCACCGGTAATTATTTGGCAAAGAAATCAAATAAATTTAACAGATTTAGATGGAAATTTAATCAATTTACAACAAACTGGTTCATCATCTACTTCATCATCATCAACGAATAATCAACACTTATATCGTTATAAAACAAATACATTTCAATTGAAAACTACAAATTTTTTTACATCACAACCGTCATCATCATCATCATCGTCGACAATAATCAAATCGGAACAGCAACTATTATTTCAAACTGTTTCATATTTTAACATTAGTTCATTACGTCCACAGGTTAGTTCATATTTGCTTATTTTTATTTTTTTTATTTAAAATCATTTTGAATTTTAAATTTTGGCTTTTTTTCATCTGTATGAATGATATGAGGAAAAAAATTTAAATTTAAAAGTTTTTCTCTTGAACCAAAACAACCAAACAGGAAAAAAATAAAAGAAATTCTTCAAGGTTCATTTGGTTTAGTTTTTTTCATTCTTCAACTTGCCAATGCAATCATCGTCTTCGTCGTTTTTTCTCTGTCGTTCTAATATAATTTGATTTTTTTAAGCTTCAAGATGTTTTTCTATGGGCGTTTGTGTATTCGGGTCTATTTTGCATATCCCATTCACTTTACTTTAAGGTTTTTGACTTGTAGATATTTTCCATTTACAATTCATGAAAAAAATTAGAATACGAAAAAAAATCAAGATTCAGACAGAAAGTAGAAATGTTCAAGTTTTTCAATGTTTTTTTTCTCATTCTATTATTGAAATTTGTATCATGATCAGCCATCAGTAAAATACTTATTTTTGTTGTATTTGACCATTGATGAAAATCCATTTATGAGGAAAAAACTTATAATATCCTAATTTTATCATAGATTATTATGTTGATAATCATTATATAAATTCATTCGATTTGAACATGCGCATCGAATTGATAAAAACTTTTAATTATTATTATTATTCTTATTATTCTTATTTGTCTAGTTTCCTTTGTTCTATACACTGAATGATTAATCGAATAAGAAATCAATCGAAGAAAAAAAAATCCAGTTCATACTGACCACACATTCACACATTGTCATCTTATGCATAGATCATCATTCTATAGATCGAAGAATTTTATTTTTCCTTTCGCTTTTTTTTGTGTCTAATATTGTACTAATACATTTAATTATTGTGTGTTTATGTGTCCAGTATTTTGGTCATTTTGTTACTTTGTCTATGTAAATCCAAATTTTCACAATCTTGACGACAATCGACCGAAACAAATGAAAAAAAAGAGATAAAAAAATTGAATCGAAATGTTTTTGTGTTGAAAACAGAATCATTCAGCCAAACAGCGTGAGGGATATAAAAGAGAAAAATAGAAAATGTAATGACAATAGCGAAAATGAATATGACTATCGGAAATCGATATTAACGATTGTATTGCCAAATGTTGAAATGGCCACAATCATCTAGCTATCATCGGCTATTTTGCAATCATAATCATTGCCATCGTGTTTTGCTCTATATGTACAGTAATACAACGGTTAAAAATTGTTGTTCATTTCAAGTTTGTCACTATAAGTCAATCTTTAGCTAGGATTAGCATAGATGATTCCGATTGAATATTATCATTTTGTATTGAATTGTTAGATTGGATAACAGAGTTATCACTGTATAGTCAAATGGAATATTGAGATAGCACAGAAAGATATCTATAAACTAAAACTAGAACGATGACAATTTTTGGTTTCTTTGTTCTCATTCTGGAATGATTTTAATGTTCTGAAAACACACACACATAGACAAATGATAAGCAACATTGAATCAAACCAAAAGTCCGGTTATTCGCTTGTCGATTCCAAAACATTATTCGATAGTATTTGTACATGTCTAGCTTATTCTGATCGAACAAATTTTTACTGAAAATATTGATCGATTATCATATACACAATAGTTTAGTCGAATTTTATTCTCTACTTTATCAATACAAATGATCACTGTGTAGTCAGATAATGTGTGTTTGTATGAGTTTTTTGCTAATGATTCTTGAATCGAATATTCGGTAATATATTTTCAAATTTTCTCAGTTCTTTAATAACGGATGTTTGAATTGATACTATGAAATGCCATTGTTTTAAAATGTTATTCATAATAATTTTTTTTCACTATTCACCTATTGGTGATATAATAAAAAAATTCAGTAAAACTATTGACTACTCATTTGTCTACCTATCTTTATTATCATATATAAATTTTAGCTGCATTTAGACATCATATACTTGTGGGAATTTTGATATACACATTCATAATATTTTTGTTCATTGTTCGAATAAAAAGATGTAGTTTCAAAATAAATAATAATAATCAAAATGGAGAAAATTTCTCATTTTCTATCCTTTTTCTTCTCAATCTTCATTCACACAATGTCTAGTCAAAGAAAAAGTTGAAGAATCGAAAAAAATTCCACTTCTAATCAAGTGTTATGTCACCTTTGATGATACAAACGCAGACATTGAATTTTTTTCTCATCATCATCACATTTATGTACAATGTATATTTTACAAATGATATTAATATTGGAAGTAAGTCTTCAAATAAGTTGTCCTGGGAATTCTCATTTGGACCGAATAAAAAAAAGTAAATTATTTGACTTGAAAGTAAAAAAAAAAATATAGAAAAATTTATGAACCATTCAATATCATCAGAAAATGAATGAAGAAGACGAAAAAATTTGTCTCCTATTAAATAAACTGAACGTTCAAATGAATATTTGAAAGTTTTTGCATCCTTCTCATTTTTTTTCTTCTTTTCTCTCCAAGGGTATAATATCAAATTCTTGAATTTCCAGTTACATTCATTTACATTCTTCAATCATTCACATTCATTCTGTTTATGTGTATGGTGATGATGAAAAATGTAAATAATTCATCACAGAAAAAATGAACCCCAAATGATTATAATGACGTTGATATAAGTAGAAAAAAGACGAAAAGCAAAAAATTGAACAAATTCTAAAAAAAATATAAAATATTTCAAAGATTCAGTTCCATATTTTTAGTTTCGTTTTCGTTTTTGTTGTTGTTAGCATCATCACATTCAACAACACAAAATTCTTTCACATTTTTTGTTATCCTCTCAATTAATAATGTAATAATTTTTTTTATCATTTCAAAATTTTATTCCAATTCTTCACATCTATTTTACATTTTTTTCTTTTGGGAAAGAATTTTGAAAATTTTTGAATTTCATTCGTACAATCACAAGCAACTGTGATTATGTTTCATCTATGCATTTCAGAAATCCTTTAAAAAAAATTCCACTCCGATTTTCATGATTTTCTTTGGAATAAAATTCAACCGTATATTTAAATAGGTTTATCGTGCATATTGTATACCAAAGAAAAAAGAAAGAATCGGAAAAATAAGGGAGAAAATAGTTTAAATGATGGTTCATTGGAAAGTTTTTTCTTCTTCTTCTTCATCTTGCATTCGTTTGTGTTCATTTATTTATTTATTTAGTTTTTTATTTCGTAAAAAATAAAATTCAAAATGAGTTTTATGAAAAAAAGTCTTTGGATGTTTTGTTTTTTCTGCTTCTGCAGTGATGGTGGTGGTGGTTTCGAAATCGTATGAATTCAGTGTGTGAAAAGACTAAATGAGAGTGGAAAAATTATAGAAAAAAAAACAAAAATGATGCTTGCCGCTCATCTTTGATTCTTCATCTTGAAAACATCACATAGACTTACATCACACGCAAAGAGAATTATATGTAATCATCATTTACCGTGTTAAATAATGCATAACTAAAGTTTATTATTATTTTCTATATTCCTATTTTCTATACTGAAAGAAAAAAACACGTTTCTTGAACGTCATAATGGAACATTCATAAAAAAAATTCTTAAAAGAACCAAACAACAACAACAAAAACCGAAATAAGAAATATTCCTGATGATGCCATGTGAATGAATGCAATGTTTGTCCATGTAACAGTGAAAACACACGCACACACGTCTATAGAAAGAACAATGTATTTATTTTTTTCACATTCTATGTTCCATTTTCTTTTTTTTCATTTCTGATGTTGTGTTTGGGTTGATTTTTTTTTATTCAAATTTTTCCTTGAACGAGCTTTCTTTTTTCTCTCTCATCGATTGAAATTTTTTTTCAATGTTTCGTACAATTAAGAGCTTTTAAAATGTTTTTGTTTTCAAAAAAAAGAGAAAAATTCTTTGCCATCCAGTTGGTCTGGGTTCGAAACATAAAAACAGAAGGGTTAATTTCTTTCTATACCAAAATAATAAAGTTGATTTGTTTCATAAGAATAATGGTAAGAGAATGGTAAAGATTTTTTTTTCTTGCAATAGAGTGCATATACAACAATACAGACTTTTTATTTAAATATTGATGAACATCATTTTAATTTTGTTGCAAGAATATTTCATTGATATTGGTTTTCAATGTTTTATTTTTTGTCCAAAATTTTTACTATTTATTCGCACATTTTAAATTTCTTTCTTCAAATTCTTTTTCGTAAATTATTCAACTTTCTTTCGAAAATTATTCAATTCTATTTTATTTATACAAACAAAAATTCTTTATTTATACGAAATTCTGTAAAGAAGAAATTCGTTTCATTTTTTTCCCTCAACTTTGCATACTAAAACTTTGTATGCAGATTTTTTTTTCTTCATCTTTTTTCCTTGATCACATTTTCATTCTTGTCAAAACCAATTTCGTCATCATTCATAGTCATTGTTGTTGTTGTTATTGTTGCTATAGTTATATTTTGAATTGTTTAAAATCATTCACTTATTCAATTTGTTTGAAAAAATAAGTTAAATGAATTTGAGTGTGGATATGATGATGATGATGATAGACAGAATAGATGCTCAAATACTGTATATTCCAAAAAAAAAGAATGAAAGAAAACATTGATGCAACAAACACTTTTGATTCATCATCTTTAATGATGATTACATAAAATCTAATTTTGTTAAATGAATTTAAGTGAATAATAAAATTTTATCATCAACATTTTTTTTTATTTTAGTTAAAACTCTTTTATCATCATCATCATCATAAGACATCATTGTTTAATGTTTTTTTTTTGTTTTTTATCTTATTTTCATTGGAATTTTCAATTCAAACAAACAAATTGTATTCTGGACATATATGAATTTTTTTAATAAAATCGATTCTATAATGGAATTTTTTTTTCTTTTATGGAAATGATTATGATGATTTCATCAACAACAAACAAACAAAAATAAGAAGAAGATCATTTTACTTCATCAAAATCTTATTTTTGATGATAATGGTTTCCGAAATTTAAATCAATCGATTTTTGAAAATAATAAAAAAAAATTTATAAGGCCAAAAAAGTCAATTGTTCGTGATTGTATTCAATTTTTTTTTTCTCGAACACAAAAAAAAAGAAAATAAATTCATAAAAGCTTTTATGTTAAACTAAATTGACTTTCAACATATCAGAATGAAGATGGTCATGGAATTTTTTTCACAAAAAAAATAAAAAAATAAAATGCTTGTCATTCATTCAATTCAAATAAGTTTGAATCGTTTTTGAAACAACAATTTTTTTTTTTTGATTTCAATGTTTTCTTCAATTCATTTCCATTGTCATCATATTGGTCATCATCTAGAATTTCCATTCAGACATTATTTGATATTCATTGCATTTTATGGCAAAAAAAAAAGAAACGATAAACATTGAATAATAAGAGATTATTCAGTTGTGCGTGTTGTTCATCTGTTATACGAATGTGAAAAGATTTTGTTGTTGTTGTTTTCTCTCCAGAGAAATATTTTCAATTTTGTTGATGTTGTTTGCTCTTTTATTTTGTCCTCCATATCAAATAAATGTTCAATTGTTTTGTGTGAAAAATAACAAAATTCTTCTAAACTGTTCATCATGTAATTTTCAGTTGATGAAAAAAAATACAACTCAAAAAGAATCTGCTGATCCAGAACTATTTCATTTCTTTTTCTCAAAAACAAAACAAAAAATTCTCTAGTTTTTCGGTCATTTGAAATTTATGAATATTCGTTGTGAATAATTTATATTGATATAAATGTTTGTGATAGAACATCTTTTATTTGTTTTGGGGACATTTTGCATTTCATTTTCAACTTTTTTTCTCCATTCGTTGTTCATTCGTTTGTTTGATTTATTATTATTATTTGGAACATTTGACACACGTATGCAATTACATGCACGCAAAACATTTCGTGATTTCATACGTATGAAATTTTTTTCCCATAGAAAAAAAAATCATCATAACAAATGAAATAAGAAAAATCAAAACAAACCAAGAAAAAAAGAGAGGATTCCATTCAATCTGTTTTTTTCTCTTTTGAAAAACGGTGAAAAAAGAATCGGTTATTTATTTTTCTTGGAAAAAAAAATTTTCCATTTTTGTTGTTGTTGTTGACATCATTCTATGAAATCAGTATTTGAAAATCCGGGAAAAAAAGCGAGAAAATTTTTTCTATTGAATTTTAAGATTTTTTTTGCACAAAAATATTTTCATAGAATATAATGATATTATGCATTCAATTCAATTCAATTCATATTTAACACTTATGTTACTATATGAATATATGGATTTTTTTTTTCTTTCTTCAACAATCATCTTCTGTCTCACTTTGTTTGTTGTTGTATGTCTGAATCTGAATTGATCGCAAATCGATTGTTGTTGACAATCTTTCTCTCTTTTATTGTTGTGGTTGTCGTTGTCGTCAATTATTAGCGGTAATGTTAAAATGAGGTTAAAAGCAACGGAGAAAAAAAGAAATTTTTCTTTTTGACTTGTTATGGAAGAAAAGAATGGTTTTTCTTCCTTCTTTTTGTTGTATATACGTGGTAAGATATGCAACGACAGCAACAAAAACAAAAATTGTAATTTTTCATCATTTACAATATCACTATGGGCAATCTAATGGCAATTTTTATTCTGCTTTGTTCAAAAAAAAAATTGAAAATCGATTATTATTATCCCTTCGATACCCGTTACACACGCACTTATCATTTTCTTTGTTATTGATGCATTTCTTTTTTTTTCTTTACTTGATAATAATCAATTGATTGAAATCATCAGTCATGATGATGTCTAAGTATGAAAGGTGGTACTAACGCTACAATGCGTTAGTTTGGTGATAGTTTGATTCTACTACATCAAATATGTATAAAATTTTCAATTTTTTTTTTCTTACAAAAATAAAGCCAAAAAAATTTTGATAAATTCTTTCTCACTTACTAAAAAAAATGATGTGAAAATCATTCAGCTGTGGTTTTTTTGCTTCATTCAAGAAATGTTTTTATACGAAAAATATTCACGTTTTTTTTTGTTCTTACGTGTGTAATAAAAGAATTGAAAAATTGATTTTTTTTATGAAAACAGAATAAAAATATCGATCGTTTTTTTTAAAACTCTGATTTTTAGTCCCTGATGAACGTTTATTTCCTACCAAATTTGTTTGATTTGAATGTAAAACATCATCGGTTTGTGTGGAAAGTTTCTTTTTTCATTAGAATATCAATTTATCACCTAGAGAAAATAAGACAATTTATATTCTCATTATTGAAAATAATTTTACATTTAGTTTTCTATTTTGATCAAAGAATCGATTTTTTATTGATATCATATCATATCTTTCAGCTTTGAATGCAAAGAATCTGTCTTGTTGTAATTTTGTGGCTGAATATTTTGTTTTGTTTTGTTTTTCGTTCGTCGATTCCGCATATTTTATTCCATTTGTTTCGATTTCATTAGATTGATAGTACATACCACACAAACATAGAAATATACAAACACAGAAAGCAACAACAACAACAATTCTTTATTTATATTTGATAATTACCTAAAATTGTGTTTGGTCACGTAATCACTAACAATGTTAATTCTTGACAATTTTGTCGTTTGGAAAAAACAAAAGTTTATCGCATATTAATTCTACTAAATTATTTTGATCTTTTTTTCGAAATCGGAAACGGAATGTTTTTTCTTTTTGTTTCTGGAACAACAGAAAAAAATTGCAATCATTTTCTTTTTCTTCTTTATTCGAAACAAAATTACAATTTAATTCCTTAGTTTTTTTGTATTTATTTTATCAATGAATTCATTAGTGTTTTGTCTGTGTTTATTCAGCACTATTCTAATAATTTGAAATTTTTTTCTTTTTTTTTCTTTGATAGGATGTTGGTCAATTTCGTTGTTTGGCTATAAATCGTGCCGGCTCTATTGGTCATCAGGCACGAATTGGTATTATCGGTTCACCATATGTACATCCGATTTCTGATCAAACGGCTGTTGTTGGTCAACAATTTTCAATACAATGTGCCTATAGTGGATATCCAATTGAAGAAGTTTATTTTGTCAAATCTAAACGTCGTCTTCCATTCGATGAACGACATATAATCACACAAATGGGTCATTTAACTATCACACAGATCGATAAAAGTGATGAAGATGATTATTCTTGTATTGTTATTGGTGAAAATGGTCAACGTTCTCAGCAAACATTTCATATCAATACAGTACTGCCACCTGTATTAAGTCCATTTATATTTTCTGATGCACTTGAAGAAGGTACACGTGCAACAGCTGTTTGTTCAGTAATTTCCGGTGATCCTCCTATTACATTACAATGGCTTAAAGATGGTCAACCATTATTAGGTTCATTAACAAGATCGGTTGATCCACAAATACAAGTGCTCAATATAAAAGAATTTATTTCATCACTTATTATAACCAATATAACAAGACGCCATCAAGGTGTTTATACGTGCCTTGCTACAACACCAAATACCAGTTCTAATCGTACTGCTATAATGCGTGTAAAAGCGCCACCAAAATGGCTAATAAAACCCGCTAATAAAGTAGCTATAACACAGCCTACAATTAATCCTTTAATTCCACTGGATAATTCAATGATGATGATGTCAAATCATCCGAACACTATGATTCGTTTTGATTGTCTAGCTTCAGGCAATCCAACACCTGTGATACGATGGAAATTTTTACGCATGAAACGTCTTTCATCAAACAATATAAATGTACGAAATAATAACAATGGAGAATCATCACAAATAGAATCAGTTCCAATATTAAGTAGTCCACAGATACATGTACTTGAGAATGGTTCATTATTAATTCGATCGATTGATAAGACAAAATTCGAAGGAATATACTTATGTGAAGTATCCAATGGTGTGGGTAAACCATTGGAAGCTCGTGCTTCATTGACCATATATCAAATACCACAGATACAAGTGAAAGTAATTCCTCATGGTAATGATGGTATTGGTGGCGGTAGTACTGGTGCACATAAATTACCATCATCCTCAGCTCAAGATCATGATCAAGTGATACAAATGGCCATACGTCATCATAGTCAAGTATCATTATCATGTACAGGAACTGGTGCCATACCAATATTTGTCGGTTGGTATAAAAACGGTCAAGAAATCAATGTATATGATACAAGTTCAATAACATCGACTAGTTCATTTCGTTTATTTGAATCTCCTGGTTCGGGTACAATTTTATCTGGAAAAAATCATGGTAAATCAACATCCTCATCATCATCATCATCGATAGATAAGAGTAAACAATTCGGTGAACGTACAACAAATTTATTGTTCAAACATGTTGGCAGGAGCGATACAGCACAATATGTTTGTTTGACACGAAATTCATTTGGCATGACACATCGCATTATTATGCTACATGTATTAGAATCTCCTGATGCACCCGAATCATTGAAAGCTATTGAAGTTGGTAGTCGTACAGTAACACTAACTTGGTCAATCGGTTATACTGGAAATCTACCATTATTATCACAGAATATTGAATATAAAAAAGAAGCTGGTAAATTCACCATTCCATATGGACCATGTCATCAATATTATTAATTGTTTTGTCTTTTATTTTTTACACTTTTGCATATGATTTTTGACTTTATAGATAAAACTTGGCACAATGCATTGATGATCAAATCGAATACGAATACAGTAACTGTACATGGTCTACAACCATTGACACCATATGAATTCCGTGTTTCATTTGTCAATGAATTAGGAACTAGTGAACATTCACGTTCAATTACATTGACCACACAGATGGAAGGTAATTTGTGAAAAAAATATATAGAAAATCAATATCAAATGAACAAGAATTTTACCAATTTTGCAACAACAAGAAAAAGTTATCGAAAAACAAATAGATTTTTTCTCTTTTTCCATGTTTAATTGTTATTGAGCAAGTGCAGATTCTTTTCTGCTTTTTTGTTGTTGCACTGGATAAATGAATCAAATGAGTCCCTAGACTCTGTCTGGTCTTTCATTCTTTCTGACTAGCGTTATATCATATACAAAGATAAAATATAAACGACTTTCTACCAAGATGACAGATGAGTTTTGAACGAACGAACTAACCAAACATATATTTGTACAATCTATGTCTCTGTCTTTTTTCTACACCCTACAAATGAATGAAGAAAAAATTCTGAAAAAAATAAGAACAAAAATAGCATCATTCAAAACAATAATAATAATGATAGTAATAATAACCCAAATAATAAAAAAGCAAAAAAAAAAAAAAAAATGGAACAACAACAACAAAAGAACATTTGGGGCCATTAATTTTCATGTAGACTATATATGTGTAGGTATTTAGGACCCTATGGTTTTGGCTACAATTTTGCTTTTTGTTTTGTATTCTACACTGAAACACAAACACACACATATCATCATCATCAATATTTATGATGTTTTATTATAAGAGAATTTCGTTGAAAAATGAAAACTTAAAAATTTTGTCTCCCTCTCTCTCTCTCTCTATTAAATTTTTTTCTATGGAATCGGGAAATTTTAATGAAAAAAAAACAAATTCGTAGCGCCAACAGTCATGCCGGACAATATACGTGCCGTACCATTAAGTACTCATGCAATACGTCTTACATGGTCAATACGATTACCACCATCATCGCATCAACAACAACAACCACATCCGTCCGATTCATCAATCGGCAATAATAATAATAATAATTTAGCTACAACTACTAGTGATATTGAAATAATTGATGGTTTTTATATTGGTTATCGTACTATTTCAACATCATCATTACCGGAAACTGGTAGTAACATTCCCGGTAGTAAACAATCACAATCATCATCTACAACTGCTGGTATCAATAATAATAATCATCATCAATCATTGTCATATACATACAAAACCATATCGAATACACCAATCCAACCATTATATTCGAAAATGTCAACAATTGGAAATAATAATTGGAAACAATCATCATCATATGGTATACGTGCAAAATCTTCACCAAATTCATTTTTAATCAAATTAAATAATCAATCTACAATCGAAACGGATCAAACATCAACATCTATGATGATGATTTCAACATCACCATTTCATCAATATTATGAACATATAATCGATACATTACAGCGGCAAACATTGTATCAGTAAGTGTGAATCATTTTTTTTTCCTTTGTTTAATTTTGAATTTTTTTTTCAAAATGAATTAAATGAAAATAAAAATTTTATTATATAAATCCCAGATAGAAAAAAGGATAGAGACAGAGAAAGATAATTTATTTTTCATTTTAATGATAAATGAAGTGAAAAAAATTATAAATTATTTAGTCGATAGAGAGTCTTTTGGTCATTTATGTTTATTGTGTGATATAACCTACACACACACAGATACATTGATCCACTGGATCACTGCAACGAGAGGAAAAAAAATCTAATTATAAAACTTGGTAATTTGTAATCATACTGTCGGTGTGTTATTGTATTATCACATCCTTTATTTTCCGGATACATTTTGTTGTTGTTGTTGTTGTTGAGTATATAACGATCGAAATGGAAAAAAATAACGGGTCAAAGTTTTTTTTTCAGATTCTCTTTTTGAACATCATTCATATTTCACATCATTGGTTTTCGGGCCAATGAAAACAAAAACAAAACGTTAACATAGTTACTGTGTTCCATAATTGAGAGAAAAGAAAAGAAACTCACAATAACAATAATTTGTTATTTTTTTCGGTCTTTTTTTTTCATTTATATAACAATTTTCCTTGTTTCATTTTTTTTCATTAATTTTCGACATTTTCTAACGAAAAAAAAACAAACGTTATTTTCTATTGTTCACAATATTTGAAAATTAGATTCATTGTACAGGCATTCAATGAAAAGGGTGCTGGACCATCATCGATCGAGGTTACTGCTCGTACATTTGCTCATGGTTAGTATTATACATCATAAATTTTGTTTAATTTGATAAAAATTTACCAATTTGTTCGAAAAAAAATATTTATTTATTTATTTCTGTTTGTTCTTGTTGTTGATAATGATTAACGATTAATATTTTTTTTCTATCTTTCTTTTTTATTTATTTCAAAATGAATTATATTTGTTCAAAATAACAAAACAAAAAAAACATGTGCATCCTTTCTCACTTATAAGATCCACCAAGACCACCAAATTTTCGTATTGAAAATGTATCCACACATGAAGCATTACTTTCATGGGATTATACATCAATCATTTCACGTGATAGTCTTTATCTTATGTCTTCTTCTTCATCATCCTCCTTATTGTCGTCATCGTCTGGATCATCTTTGATTGGTAATGGTCAAGATTTACAACAACAACAAGATGACAATGGTCCATTAATAGTCGATGGTTATGTTATTTCATATCATTTAGCACAAAATTATGTTATTGATGATAATAATATTGGTACAGAAGATTGGCAATCGATTACGATTAGTTCATCATCAACATCATCATTCACATTGAGAAATTTACGTTGTGGTAGCGAATATGTTACACGTATTGAAGCCTTCAATGAAATGGGTAGCGGAAGACCATCGGAAATGATACGATTTTCAACGCTTGGTGGTCGTAAGTGTTTTTTTCCTAAAAAGAATCATTTGTTCATCTATGTTGTATGTTAATTCTATATTTTTCTTCTTAATTTATTTTTTGTAGCTCCAATACCACCAGATAAATTTGCCAATCATTTCATTATATCGAATATAACATTTGTTATCATCAATTTGGATCTTTGGTCTGATGGTGGCTGTCCTATCACTGGTTATAGTATTAAATATCGAACAAGACGTCATTATCATCGTAGCTTTCTAGGATCATCCAATAACAACAATAATAAGAATAATGGTGGATGGATTACATTATCTACACATTTGATGCCTGAAAAAGAAAAGTTAATTATTCGTGATCTTATGCCCGGAACATGGCATGATTTGATTATAGCTGCACAAAATGATGCCGGTAAACGTGAATCTGAATATAGTTTTGCTACATTGACTGAAACTGGTGCTACTGTCGAACCATTACATGCATTTGAATCAAGAATGGCAACAAATACTGGTACAGCTTTTACAATTGTTGGTGCATTATTCGATGATCCAATGATATTCATACCGGCTATTTGTACAATTATTGTTTTGATTGTTGTTATTTCGACATCAATATTTTTATATGTGATGCGAATGCGACAAGAAGCACTACAAATTGCCAACGAAGATACATGTAAGTAATTTATTGAGAATTTTTCTTTTTCATTTTGCATGTCTGAAATATTAAATGATTTACCTAATATTTTTATCAAATTATCGTTTGTTATCCAATCATAGATTGTTCACATAGATCTAGTACACGTTTAGATGAAATGTCATTAAGTTCATATCCAAATAGTAATGGAACGTGTAAAAAATCATCATTAATGAATGCAACAAAATTGAATGGAAAAGTACATTTAAGTTATGAAAAAAATGGAATGATAAATAATAATACAGAAACGGAACCACTTTATGAACAGACAAATTTTGCTACATCCACCGGTGTAAATCATCAACCATTGTTAAATAAAGCGGCAACATTTCATAAAAGTCCTCATCATCAACGAACCGTTATGAAACAATCGATTGGTGAGGCAAATCTATTGGAAACAATTGATCTAACATCATCAACAACACCAGCAACAACAACAACGGTTAACCAACATCAGCATCAACAATCATCGCAAGATCAAGATCAATCAAATGAAAGCTATAGTTTTGAACCAATATTTGATCATCGTGATCCAATGATTGAACAATATTTCAAGACATTACAAACTCGTTCATATCATCATCATCAACAACAACAACAGCAACATCTTAATCATTCTAGTAATTCATCACAATCATCACATTTATATCAAATGCCTGAACAGGTTAAACAACAACAGCAACAACAAGCTAATTTAATAGCAAACTTAAATTCAGAAATTGAAATGATCGATATTATTGGTGATGAAACATGTACGATAAAGAAATCTGCATATCATCAGCCATTATCATCAATAACAACAACAATGACAACAAATACTACGACAAAACCATGTAATGCATATATGACAACATTTGGCATTGTTAGACCACAACAACAACAACAGGGTAATGTTGTCAATATTCTTCAACAACAACAACTTCAACAATAATCAATTTTGGATGAAAAAAAAATTCATTCGATTGCCAAATCTTAATTTGATGAATAAAAGTGATATTTATCTATCTTTATTAATAAATAGTTTTTATTTCCATCCCATGCTGCCGACCATTTTGAATTATTTTGTGTTTTTTCTTAAATTGAATCTAATAAATTTGTTTCATTTTCTTCCATAATTATATAAAAATTAATGATTGATTGATTAAATGTAAATTTTTTGATCTATTTGATTCTTAATTGTTTTTCTTCTTTTTTTTCTTGTTAAATAAATTTATCTGTGGTGATTAAGATGAATTAAAAAAACTAGAATAGCTGGAAACTTGCAATAAGTTGTTTGCTTATTTCTAGCAACTGTCATGTTGATTCTGTTGCCGTTGTTTAACCAAACAAATTTATTGATGAATTTTCAAGTGTAAAAAAATCAAAAATTCAACTCATCAAAAAAAAGCGGAACAAACGGAATTCTCTTCCATTTTCAATTTCACAACCATATTTGTACAATTTACAAACACAAAAACAGAAAAAAAATCACAACAACATTGTTGTCGAAATGTATGTTTGCAAGTTTCAATATTTGAACATTTTCAAATCAAATCATCATCATGAAAATTTGTTGAATTCACATTTGAATTTTACTTTTTTTTCCTCTACAAATGATTTTCATCGATATATACCATCAACACCGGTTATTGGTTTGGACAATGTATTCGGATGTTTGTTTTGTTTGCCAGTATGTGTGTACATTTGTATAATTTATACAACACAAAAAATATCAGGAAAAAAAGGATCGTTTAACTTTTCATCATTGTAAAATGATTTTGGCGGATGTTTCTGAATAAATAAACATTTCACATCAAATCGAATTCTTTGATTCTTGTTGATCAAATTGCATACAAACTGAATGAATGGAAAAACAAACAACAAATAGATAGATCAAATACAAAATTTAAATGACAAATTTTATTTTTTCAAACGGAAAAGGTAAGAAATAAAGATGAAAAAAAACAGAGAATGATGTGCATCATTTTTTTGTGTCATGTGAACATTTAGAAAACAAAACTATTTCGGATTGTTCTGTATTGAAGAATTTTAAATTTATTCTACATCATGACATTGAACAAAACAAAAAAAAACATCCTTCAATTTTAATCTTTGGATCTTTGTTTTCATATCAAATTTCTAATTACATTTCATTTACACTGAATTATCATTTTCTTTAATAATGATAATTTTCCAAAAGCAATATTGTTGTTGAAACCGAAAAAAAACCAAGAAAAAAGACAAACAAACAAACTTAATTTTATTTTTTTCATTTAAAAATTTCATCTAGTTTCACATTTCATCTGGTTGTTTCAACTGCTATTTGGTTTTTTTCTGAATTCTGGTTTTTTTTCCTCTTTTTTTTCATTTGATTTATTGACTTAAGTGTTTTCTAATGTTTCTTTTGTTTTTGTCTCTTTGATTATTTTTTTCGAATTCTTAATTCTGAACAGCAAGTATATTTTTTTTATTTAACTTTTCCAATGGATAGTTTGGAAAAAAAGAAATACCAATTCCCGGTAAGAATCCATATGGTTAAAATGAAGAGAAATCATTTTCAAAATCACTACAATATTGGTGGACATCATAATGAAAACAAGCCAACCGAATTGAAAATGAAAGTTGATTTTCTTTTATTTTGGAGTTTAATGTCGGTTTAAATATATATTGTTATAGATGAAAATTCTGTTATGCTGTAATAGTGTGTTTGTGTTTCCTTGACACGGTATAATATCATTTTTTTTAAAGTTTAATTTAAATTAACTCATCTTTTCTGTTGTCGTTTTGTCCATTATTTCCTTTGACTATGTTATAATCATCATCATCATCATCATCAACACATCATATAATAAAACAGACTGTAAATGTTAAACATCGTACAAATTACCATTCCAATAACAACAACAACAAAAATTAGCTAACATTTTATTCGACAAAAAAAAAATTTCATCATGTCATTTTTACCGATTAAGCTATATAATATCTTTCCTCTAAGGTCGTTTGTTTCTACGTTTTTTTAGATTCATTTCTACAAGTTTCTTTTTTTGGTTTTGAAAAAAATAGACAAAATGGTTGCTATCTGTGTTTATATTCTTCCTCATATCAACTGGAAATAATTAGTTTATCTATACATTGTTATGATGATGATGATGATGATAATTTTACAATGAAATTTTACTTATTAACATATCACATGTAAAATGTATGAAACTGGAAAATCCAAAAACAAGCAAAATAAGAAAAACAAAGCCGGGTGTTATTATCATTACTATTATTATTATTATTGTAAATTTGACTTTTGTTTATCTATTTTATGCATTATTTTTAATGGAAAAATAAAAATTTGTTTCATCGTTGTTTTGCTTCAATTTGCAAATTACAATGATAAACAAGAAAAAATCGTATCGATTTTGATTACATTGAAAATAATCACATTTGACGGTTTTCATCATCATTATTTTGTTTGTTTTTAAAACAATCGATTTATTCCTATTTCTGCTGATAAACATTTCGAATGGAATTAAATTTTGTTTACTGTTAATAAAATGTAAAAAATCCATTTTACCATTTTGACAAAGATAACTGAATTTATTCGAGAACGGGAAAAAATTATTATCAAAAATTTTATAGATTTTTTTGGATTTTTTCATCTTTATTTGTTTTTTTCACCGTATTCGAAAAAGAGAGAACAAAAGATAAAAGACAATAACATTAATGAAATGTCAGAATCAATTTGATTTATCATTTCTGCTTTTCTTTTTCTTTTTTTTTGATGTTTGTTATGTTCAGAATCGATGGAATCGATTTTGAAATTAAATTTCGTTCATTTCTTTAGAAAGATTTTTTCATAGGTGGATTCTTTTGTTTGTTTGAAATTTTCAAATATTGACTTACAGATGAAAAAATAAACATTATCAAAATCATTATCTGAATTGGATACAAAAATCAATTCTTTTATTGAACTTTAATTACAATTCAAGCGGTAAGATTATTTTATTTTGCATTTGAATTTGATCAATTTGATGATTAATTGATCATCAATCTTGTTTTTTTAATCCTTTATAGTTTTCGTTTGTTTTTTGATAACTATTCCATTGAAACATTCGAATAATTCAATCATGATACATGTTTTCTTTCTTCGGAATAAATAATAATAACTTTTGTATTCACTAATTCGGCATTATGACCGGGTTGTATTTCTATTTTTAATACGGATGAAAATTAGAAGAATCAAAGAATAAATAACAAAATTACAAGTAAATAAATGATAATAATATTGTTTGAAATGAAATAAAATGTCGAAACAAATCGAGAAAACAAAACATTGATATGTTGGATTAATTTGGTCGATGATAACGCGTTCGTTGCTCGTTGAAGAAGCGATCTTGGATGCGATGAAAAAAAACAAAACAAATGTTTTGAAACAGAAAATCGAAAAAATTCTTTGTCTTTTTTTTTCTCATTTTGTTTCATTACTGATGTCGAACATGTCGAATGTTAATCTAGATTAATTCACTATTATTATTATTATTATTTCAGGTTTTTTTGTTGTTGTTTTCTTTGATTTTCCATCAATTTTCACACTATAGCTTTTAGTTATATGGATTTTATCATCAAACATCATCGAAACTAAAAATTGGTAAAAAGATTATGAACAAGACATGTGTACAAAAACAACAATGTGTTTTTTGTTTCCTTTTTCTTTCAGTTCTCATCATTATCAAGTGTATATATCACTGATGAACAAACAAATAATAATGATACGGGACAACTAAATTCAAAGTTTCTTTCAATTTCAATCATCCAATCATGTTTCCGACAATAACAACATTGTTTTTTTTCATGTTTGAAATACCTGATGATGATGATTATTTTTTTACGTCACCTTTTTACTAAATCCAAGCTAATACTTTGTCAATCTAAAAATTGACATTTTTTTCAATTTTATTCTCTTTACTTTAGTTCATTTCGATTTTATCATCGAATGTTGGAAAATTTAAATAGATTACACTTCATCAATTTTAATCGAAACAGATTTTTTTTTTCTTTCTTTTCACGATGATAATCAATGATTTAGATCAAAAGAAAAAAAATCTCAAATAAGAGAAAACAACAAAAACCTAAGATTCATTATTATCAAAGGAAAATGATACAACATTGTTTTAGAAATTGATTCAATATTTTATCAGCATCATTATTATTATACCCGGGATAAATATGGTCAAGATTAGATTTTTTCTTTTCTTTTACACACTCGATCTCTTTTGGCCGCCCATTTTCATCTTTACCATTCTTCATTTATTTTGATCAATGATTGTGATTTTTTTTTTGGTTGTTCCAAGTTCATCGTTAAAATCCTAAATCTGGCTGATTTATCTTTGATAATCAACATCATCATAATAATAATGAAAACTTATGAAGAAAAGCTCAACGATTATTTGTATTAATAATTCAGGTTTCATCATCATCATCATCATTATGGCCAAAGATGTTTCAGTGTTTGTATTTGATATTATGAAAAAAAAACCGAAAAAAAATAATAATGATCTTTTGGTCGGCCAACCAAACCAAATACAAACAACAACAATACTAAAATGAAAATGACATTCTATCTGAAGCCCGGTAATCATGATGATGATGATCTTCATTTTTTTCTTTTGATTCTCATTGCACATAGTTACTATGTCAAAACCAAAAAAAAAAAAAAAAAAAAAAAAAAAAAAAAAAACAAAAAAAAAGACGTTGAACATTTTTCGATACCAAAACCCGA